GTCCCTTTAAACTGTGGCACACTAAGTAAAAGGTTGTCATTAGTCCATGCGATTTGTGCACTTTATTTTAAGTATTTTGTAGTCATATGATTTCTGTAAGGAAAATGCTTAAATTTAAGCTATGATTCACTGATAGATCTCATAACCAATCATGGTGTGCCACCATTTAATTCTAAGCATATTAAAATTGCAGAAGTGCAGAAAACACTGAATATAGCATATTGTATGGACCACTATGTACCACTGTCATATTTTGAACTTAACAGCCAAACATCTCCTTGTCCATGTAGGAATAAAAAATTGTGAGAATTTGGTACATTTTAAGGTTATATTAATGATACATAAAAAGTTGTGATCACATCAAACTGTGAAATACAAATATACCAGGACATATGGTGCACATTGGTGTGTGATTTCTGAGGTAAACTGTGTGATGGTGTTGTAAAAATAACTCAAGTCTGAAATGTCAAATTCACAAGAACTCCTCTGACCTCTCCAGCATGGCCATTATTAAAGGTGACAGCAGGAGAACAGGCATGGGCAGCACGACACGGGTCAGGGATGTCTCTATCAGAGCCTGAACAAAAAGACATTTATCAGACCAGAACTCACAATAGGCCTGCACAAAAGCTGCCAGTAACCTTTCACCTCACACGTGCAAATGGATCCATACTCACATGCCTGGCAGCCAGCTTTGAGGTGCCCACCACATTGCCTTTGTCGTCCAGTACGCAGATGCCCTCTGACAGCTCAGTGTGGCGCATCAGCAAAACATTACACACGTTGGCACTTGCTAAATGAAGGGAGAGCTGCGGTTAGAAAACAGGACTTGATCACAAACACAATTCCATCTGATGTCTAAATATTTAGATTCAGTGAGAGAGAATCGTGTGAATTGGACTCCGTTTGGACTATTGTCACCATCTCTGACATGTCTTCAAACAAGAAAACACAAGAAATGTAAGAAGCAGTTAATGTGCTCAATGCATTTGAACTTAAAAGAGTAGGGGAGAATAATGGGGTATACACGGGTCGGTGCTATTTTAAACTGTCAGAAATATATCAAATATACAGAATGTACAGTATTATCAGTAGCACTGGGTACTATAGGCACTACCCCTGAACCTACCCCTAACCCATGTAGTTACCTTATATTATCCAGTACTTTCTTAGGTAAGTACACTGT